AATTGGAAATGGAATTGAAATTGGAAATGGAAATGGAAATGGAATTGAAATTGGAAATGGAATTGGAAATGGAATTGGAATTGGAATTGGGAGTGGAATGGAGTGGAGTGGAGTGGAGTGGAGTGGAGTGGAATGGAATGGAATGGAATAATAGAATAGAAGAGAATAGGAATTGGAAATGGAATTGCAATTGGAAATGGAAATGGAATTGGAAATGAAATTGGAAATGGAATTGAAATTGGAAATGGAATTGAAATTGGAAATGGAATTGGAAATGAAATTGGAATAGAATAGAATAGAATAGAACAGAACAGAACAGAACAGAATTCTTTATTGGCCAAGTGTGATTGGACACCCAAGGAATTTGTCTTTGGTGCAGATGCTCTCAGTGTACATAAAAGAAAAAAAAATACATTCATCAAAAATCATAAGGTGCAACACAGTGATAGGTTATTTAGCTTACTAAATAAGCAATCAAATCATACTAGGAAAAAATCAAACAATATATATCGTAGAAATACAAGCAACAAGCTTATAGTCATAAGTGGGAAGAGATAGGTAATAGGAAGGAAGAGAAGAATAATAGTAATACGTTCTTAGTAAATTATTTGACAGTGTTGTGGGAATTAGTTGTTAAGCAGAGTGATGGCATTCGGGGAGAAACTTTCCTTGTGTCTAGTTGTTCTAGTGTGCAGTGTCCTATAGCATCATTTTGAGGGTAGAAGTTGAAACAGTTTATGGCTAGGACATGAGGGGTCTGTAGATGTTCTTCTCCATCTCTTGAGGAGACCCCCATCAGCAGCCCCTATCTCAACCGAGACCACTGCTTCTCTTCCTTTGCATCCTAGGCATCCGCTAAGTCTCCCCATTCCACAAAGTCTTCTTCTCCAGGAAACATTCACGGTGAACAAGAAGGAGAAGCACTACTCTTTGGAAACCAGACTGGTGATTGACGAGCGGGAAGTCTCCATTCTAACGCTCACCTTGGGCTATCCGGCTAAACATCCATATGTAAGTGATGAGCATGGACAGAAATGGGGGGGAAGAGCATGAAGAGTAATTCTTGCCATTCTCAAGAGCTTCCTTACATCTCTAGATATGCGCAAGATTGACTCATCCGTATAACCGTGGCATTTTTCCTCAAAATATGGAAACATGCATCATGATGAGAAATCTCACCCAGGTAAGTTGGAGGCAAAAAAGAAGGGAACAATTTTGCCAAATGTAAATTATGAGCTCGGTGCCTGTTGGAGTCCTTCTAGAGATGGTCCCAAGCTTGTATTTTCTTACACACAATTCTAGTTCAGATTCTAGAAGAACCTTAGCCAAATGAACTCCCAATTGTGGACTGTGTGCCTGTTGGAGTTCTTCTAATGAAGATCCCCAGCTTGTGTTTCCTTACCCACTGCAATAGTTCAGGTTCTAGAAGAATCTTGGCCAAATGATCTCCAAATTATGGACTATGTGTCTATCAGAGTCCTTCTAGAGATGGTCCCAAGCTTGTATTCTCTTACTCACAATTCTAGTTCAGATTCTAGAGAAATATTGGCCAAATGAACTCCAAATTATGGACTGTGTGTCTATTGGAGTCCTTCTAGAGATGGTCCCAAGCTTGTGTTTTCTTACCCACAATTCTAGTTCAGATTCTAGAAGAACCTTAGCCAAATGAACTCCAAATTATGGACTGTGTGCCTGTTGGAGTTCTTCTAATGAAGGTCCCTAGCTTGTGTTTTCTTATCCATAATAATAATTCAGGTTCTAGAGGGATCTGGGACAAATGGCCTTCCTCACAGTGTCATCCCTGGGTTTTGGATTGTTTTCTCCCTCTGGGACTCAGCAGGAGTTGCCGAATTCAAATCCCCAATAACACCAACCAGCAGACCCAAAAGCAGACCTCAAAGAGAGGGATGCTGCCAGTTGTAGGTCTACAAGAGGGGTCTTCAAGTTCTCTGTCCTTTCTTCCATAGTCAGGAATGGTAAGTGAATGAGCAACGCTAGTGAGCATGTGGTCAAGGAGCTATACGGTTTTTCTAGGAGCTCCGAAGCCAACCATGTCAGAGTTTGTTGCCGAAAAATCAAATCCCGAAAGCACACGCAGATACCTGATTCAGCTGGATTCATTTGCTTCTTTATATACATAATAACAGATGGATAAATGTGCCATACCAATGTACAGTTCTACCAATTTCAACGTGGTAGAAGTTACAAGCAGAACATAAGCAGGAGAGAACAGTTAGTTTCATTTCAGAGTTCAGGGCAGACAGAATAGTTTCAGTTTTGATTCTCAGCACAGACTCAGATCTGTTTAAGCTCCCATTGGCTGACTTAGTTGCTATGCCTATTCATTGGCTGAACCTTGTTACCATGTCTCTCCCAATCATGAATATTCTAACAAACCAGAAGACCATGAGCTTGGGCTCAATA